TATAATTTAATAATTTTTAATTTTTAAACAATCTAATCTAATCTAATAAGAAGAAAATAACAAAGGCACACACCTATTAAAGGAGATGAAAGTGCTATAAAAATTATTGTAATTTTATCTAAAAAAAGATCAAATATACTATATAATTAATTGCTTTAAAATAATCTAATCTAATTTAATAAGAAGAAAATAGATGAAAATGCTAGGAAAATTGTTGATATTTCTTGATATGAAATAAATAAATATATATATATAATATAATTAATTGCTTTAAAGTAATCTAATATAATCTAATAAGAAGAAAATAACAAATGTATATACATGTAGAAGGAGATGAAATACTACGGAAGTTGTTGTAGTTTATTGGCTTATAAACATTAGTACGTGATGTTGCATGTGAGAGGATAACAATCGTAAATAGAGTTGTATTTAAATAATAATAGTATAATTAAACTTTGAAACTATTTATGTAGTATTGTGAATTACTTGAATTTTAGTTGGTGAGAGATGTCACGTTGTGTCCTCATATCACAGCCGCTTGTTTTAATTTTTCTTTTTTATAATTTTCGGAATGATTGTGTCTCTTTAATTTGTTTGGTGGATTTTGCAAATAACCGGTCCACATTATGTATATTTGTAGGTCTGCGTAGTTCTAATGTTCGACCTCTGGGGCGGACATTATTTGTCTGACTAATTTGCTTAGTTTTTGCATATACGTCATTCATTTTGTATACATTTATAAATTTGGCATTTAATAATTTCATTCAGGTTTACATTTCAATTTAAACTATATCCTTATCTTCATACTATGTATATCCAATAAGAATTCATTAATTTATCAAGTATGGTTGGTACCAAGCATAAGTTTTTGTGCTTGGTAGTGAGGTGGTATCCACTCATTAAAATCGGGGTCCACATTCACATGGGTTGGGGAGTGATTGAGAATTTGAAGGAGTGGATGAGAATAGGACATCTCACTATCAAGCACGAATCCCAACTTGAATGAATGGATGAGAATAAGACACCTCACTACCAAGCACAATATTTATGCTTGGTACCAAGTATACCCATTTTTCTCATCCACTCATTCAAGTATTTTTAATTTATTTCCGCATTAAAATTTATTTTTTGGTTTCACTTTAATAGTTTTTTATTCACTTATGTCTCTAAACTTTAGCATTATGATTATTTATTTTCTTTGATGTTTGTTTGAATGGACTACACTGAATTTTAATTTTTATATTGATAATTGAATCGACTGGAAACAGATGTAATCCAAGGCCAATTTGAATTTTAACGTTATTTGGACCAACGTGAAATTAAGCTTGACTTAATAAAGTATAGTGTTGCGAAAGTGAAAAATACTTGAAAATAGCCCTATAAAAAGCAAGGCGAATAATTAAAGCCAATAAGCCAATATGATTGATTAAAAGAGGGTTAGAGCAAAACTAAAAAGATTATGAAGTTGTTACTAATCATTGATAGACTTAATGAAAAACTATAAACTAAAGATTAATGCTAATTCTGGTGCACTTTTATATAATAAAAGTATCCATATAAGCATATAAAACACTAAAAATAGTTTATGAAAATTTCTTCTAAATATTCCTAATTTTGCTCAAAAAATTAAACTAATCTATACAATATTAAAAAGATAGATCTTTTATTCCTTTTGTTTTTCTATTGAGTCGAGATCAATCCTACTCTGCCTTTATCTTTTTCTTGTGCAATTCTAGAGTAGTGTTTTCATCGTCTACATCAATTGTGACTTCAGACTGGAGGTGGATTTCTTGTGTTGTTATCTTTTTTTGGACTCATTCATCTTTTGTCTTCTTGTCTTACTTCACAAAGAAGTTGCATGCGATGTTCAATACAAGCTTTTAGAAATACAAATTATATTTATTTTTTTATTATAGTGAGAATAATGGTTAATTTTATATATATGAAATTTTTGTGTTTCTAATTTGTTACTTACATAAGGTAGGAGTTACCTTTTTTTTCTTTGTAATGAATTCTTCTGTTGTGTATCCAATAAGAGTTTTTGTTGTGTCAAATAATGGTACTTTTGCTATGTCCATGTCATTTTCTATGATGATCTGAACTAAATAACTGCATTTTTATTATCGAATTGGTTTAGATTGTAATGTTAATATGTAATTTTGATAAGTTTATTTTGTAAAGAATATATATTATTTAACCTTAGTACTATGTCAACGACAGTTCTATGATATTTATTATTTCAACACTCTTATTAATATTTCTATCCACCTTCTTATTGTTGTAGCCTTTGCAAGCATAAAGCTAACTCTATTTGGAAATAGTAGTTATCTTTGCATTGTAGGTACAATAGCATGTCTTTATATTAGTAAACTATTTTTAGGTTTAATTATGTGAATTTTAGAGTTGGTCTTGTAATATCATACCTCTTTTGAATGTTGTGATGAATATATATCAGTAATTTGAATTTGTATTATATTTGTAAAGAGCCTTGATGGAGGTGCTTTTGTCTTGGTAGCTTGTTCTGACTGCATATTAGCGTTAAAATGTAATATTATGTCTTTGTTGTGTTATATGAATGGTAACTTGGTTTACTTATCATTTCCTTATATTTTTAGTAAGTTATATCTTTGGATTAATAGATATTATTGAAGCAATTTATGATGTCATGCATATTTTTCCTACAAATTTGAGATAAATATAAGGTGAATTTTATGTTTAGTGAGATTTAATGAGAATTTTAGTAATGAAGTATTCTACCTTCATATTTAAAGATCTTGAAATTTGAATATCAAACAATTACTCTTTTCTTTACCAAATTTAGAAATTTCAGCCTTTTATGATTTTAAAATTTTGAGAGTATGTTTTGTTATTTTTGAAACATTAGTAGTATTTTTTTTAAAATTTAAATTTTAAGTTTAGTGTTTTTAATTTTCATAATTTTTGTGTTTGGTGGTAAGTTTTCAAATGCCAGTATATTTTCTTGCAACTCTGAAATTTTGACGATGTGTTTTGCAATTATTAAAAATTTGGGTTGTTTTTTATAAAATTTAAAATTTTAGTCATTTACTAATAATTTCTAGATTTGATGTGTATCTGTTATAAATTTTAAAAATTTAGGGTTTTTTGTGATTCTTAACTTTTGAGGGAATTTTTATAATTTTTTATAAAATTGAGTTTTTTTTACAAATTTTAAATTTTCAAGTGCATGATAATTGATAGCAATCCCTTGAATTCATCTATGTTGTTTGCAAGTTTTAAAATTTTAATATTTTAGGGTGTTTTTTGTAATTTAAACTTTTGAGGTTGTTTATACAATTTTTGAAATATTGAGGCTGTTAATTGTAAATTTAAAATTCTTCGAGGATTATTGTTAATTTCAAGATTCCATGTTTGTTGTATAGAAATACAAAGATCAGTAGTCAAATTGCCTATAACGTATGTTTTAGAAGCATTGGCATTGGAACAAGCCCCTCTATTTCTTGTTCTTCGAACAAAAGAGAACAAGTATGCTTCAAAATAAACACATTATGTTAGAATATCAGATTATGTTAGAATATCAGCTATAAGATTCGTCCAAGGGTGAAAAAGAGAATGATCGTTGTCTAGCAGATTGACTAATTGCTCCGAGCCCATCTCCACTATCACTAGGGCTGTTTAAATGGGCTTCAAGTCCAGACTGGGCCCAGTGTCCAGCCCGAACCTAGCCGGACTCGAACCCAACCTAAAAAATCTGGGCCTGGTTAAGGAGAGAGGAGAGCGCCGACCGGGCCTGGCTCGATTTTATATATATATATATTATATATATATATATTATATATATATTATATTATAATATATATATAATATATTATAAATATTTATATTATATATTATAATAATACATATATATAATATAATTAATATATATAAATAATTAATAAAGTGATGAGTTATTGGTATGGTCCACTGAGGATGGGATATAGCGTGAGTTGTGTATACTGTGATTGGGTGTATATATTTTTATACGTGTGTGGCGGTAAGAGTTGTGGGTGTGTTAATATGGTTAGATTATGTGTATAACTTTTCATATGTGGTGTGTGATAGAGAAAGAGATGATATGTTATTAAAATGAAAATCATAACTTACAGTATACATAATATAGCCATATATTACTAAAATATAAGTAAACTATATACCAATACATACTTATTAAACATGGCCTAATACAAATATTGGTATTTTAATTCCACCACAATTTCAACAACAAGGTATTAAATAGGCAAACCCGTAGTTAGACGATTAATTAATGATCCACACTAAATCAATAAGGCAGTTTCTCACTCGACGGGGCCAGATTTCCGAACGAAAGATCTCGCGTGCCTGGCCACAGTGGATGTCTCAAAACTTCATGGTTTGCAGCAGCGAGCGAAACGAGCAACCAAATCTCTCATATTCAGCCAAAGTAGATAAAATAACGGTATGATGCACGCCGCCTGAGCATCGCTAACAACCCATCGAATACGGCTGAATATGCACAGACAAGCTTGCTTGCCAAAGTCGCCGCTGCTAAAAAGATTGAGACAATCCATTGTGCCACATCACGTGACGAACGATCTCGCCGGAAATTTGCCCGCCGACGAGAAACCATGCCTTATTGGTTAGTTGGATCAATTAAAATGTCTTAAAGCGGGTTTGCCTATTTAAAATACCTTGTTGGAAATTGGGGTGGAATTAAAATACCAATATGGATATTTAACCTAAAAATATAATAAGATTAATCTAATTTTTAAATCAATTTTTATCAAAAATACAAAAATACAAAAAAATCGGGCCAACGCGGTTTGGCTCGGACCCAGACCGTCCCGAACACCTTAGGTACAGGTCCGGGCTAGATATTTTGCTCAGCCCAGATTCAGAAATCCAGGTTAGGCCGGCAGGGCCTGCCCTTCTAGACAGCCCTAAATTTATCACAGGTTTATGCCCCTACAGTAATGGGTCAATAACAGGTGTTGCTGTTGACCCGCTGTACTTGTTGTCCTCAGCGAGACTCCTCTATCGGGTTCGGATCCGTGTCGGGACCCGTTCCAACTCCTTCCCAATCGCGATCCTTCGTATGTATCATCTCGTCGTCCCTCTTTCACCTCTCATCAGCGATCCGAGGTGCGTTCTCTTTCTTCTTATTTTCTCATCGTAATTTCTCATAAAATTAATGTCTTTTTTATGAAATTGGACCTAAAATCTTGCAAAATTTTTAGTGGTTAATTAAAAAGAAACAAAAAAGAATAGGGAAACAGAAATGGAAGAACAATTCATACTGCGAGTTCCACCTTCGGTATCGGAGAGGATCGAGCGGCTGTTCAATGAGAACGCGTCCTCGTCTTCTGAAGATGCTTCCCTCGATTTATCCTTTGAAGGTACTAAATCCACATCAAAGTTTAGGGCTTGCGTATAATCAATGGTTTTAGTTGTTGATTGCTCAACTTTTTTTTAAAAATTTTTGATTTTTATTTTAGTTGAATGGGAAACTTTTGTCTTATATTGAAAATTGTAGCTTGATGCTGATGACTTGTTGGGAGAAAAGTTTTTTTCCCTCCTTTTTAAATCGTAGGTTTGGTTAGTGTACTTCACTGCCAATGGTTTATGTCTAATCAATAGAAATAAGATTCAAGGTTTTAGTTGAGAGAATGGAGAATTTGAGAACCTTTCCGAGAATCTAATTTAGAGAAAACAGCAAAGAATGTACATATCAATGACATAGATTGGGTCAGAGTTCAGTAGATGACCTTATTTGTTTATGTTATAATCTAGTGTCTGATTGCAATGAATTTGTGATATCGTCATAGTTTTCTGTTTAAATTTTGCCGACGGGTCTGAAAGTGTGCAAGTGTCCTAGTCTCACATTAGAAAGTTCTAAATATTGAAAGTCCTCTTTTTCAAATAGCTTGTTGTGGGGGAAAAAAATCAATTTGTAAGATTTAATGCATGTAAGCAATTAGAAAAAGAGATGCAAGCTAATTTCATCCCATGAAAGATGCTAATTCTGTGATAGATCATGTACTGAACGTAGAAGATTAGAGGCTGATACGAGATCCTGCTATATCTTGTTTAGCACTTAAAATTTTTTCTTCATTATTAAATTTTTTTCTTCATTATTAGTTGAAAGGGCTCAACCATGTACATGCATGTGGGTGCGTAATGTGCATCCTTTCACATACATTTACTAATTTTTCTTTTTACTTAACTCTGTGCTTTGCTTTTTATTGCCGAACCTTACGAACATTGGATTCGTAAGAAAGCAAATGCAAGCAATGATTCTTCTTGGTTACAGACATGACTACTGAATTACTGTATTCCGATATATTATGATTGGGGACAAAGTAGGAATCCGAATAAATAGTTTGATAGGAATTATTACTTTTTGATCTTCTTGTTAACTTAATAATTTCCTTATCCTCAGCTCAACCAACAACATAATTCACTTAATTTTATTCATCATTGACTATTAATTCTGTCATATAACAAGACCCTTCCAACTACGAAGGAGGGTAGAGAAAGAGGTCCTATTGTCCGCATCAACAATAACAACAAATATGAAGTCTGCTCCCAAATTAGTAATTCCTAGCCACCAATATGCACTATATATTCATTTGTTCTCACAATTTTGCTAAAAGTTGTACCTTTTACTTTTTTTTTTCTTTCAATTCTGCTAGCTCTAAACCCTTTGTTGTGAAAAACTTGTTTCCACCTTCTATCTCTGAAACTGGCCCTTTTCTAGTCTCCTCAACTATATCTCTATCATCTATCGACTCGTGTTCAGCAGAAGCCATGTAAGCTCTCCTCCTATATTTGAATTCTGGCTCCATGCATGCTCTCAGGTTTGAGAAATCTATTCTTCTTTTACTGTTGAATCAGTTTATGCAATTGGTACTAGTCAAGGTCATAATCACGTGGACATGCCCAAGAATTAAACCATATTTTCCAACTTGTTGCATGAGTTGAAATTGCTGTGCTAATTTGCTTTGTAGTTTGTTTATCTTCATTCATGTTGTTGAAACTTTTTTCCCCATAATTATTATTTTTTACTATGTTAAATATAAAATTTAGCCAGGCCAATATGACACTTGTGTGGCTTTCGTGTAGTGCATGACCCTAAAGAGTTAGTTTTCCTTTGAGTCTTAGAGATCCAGTTCATTATTTTAGATCATTAGTTGGTATTGGTTTCTTAATTTTCTGAATGACCAAACTTGACCCTGATGCAGGAAAGGAATGCCTTTTTCCCCCTTTGTTTGTACTTTCTTTCCATTTGCATTAACGTTGATAGCTTTTTTTCATACTAACAAATATTTTAGCTGCATTTGCATCATTGGGTGTATGCTGCTAACTATATGCTCTAATGATACTTAATGTCCATCTACATGAATATTAAAACCCGTATTACCTGTAGAGGATGGGAGAACTGGCACTTTTCTAATTGGTAACGAGAGGTTCCCTGCTGCACTCTTGGATCTTCCATGTGTCGTGGAATCATATAAAACTTATGATGATAATGTTTTAATTAAAACTGCAGACGTTGGTCAGGTAAGAAGCTAGATTTCTTTTCTTTCATCCCCTGAGATTGTAATTTGATTTTGTGGTTGAAATAGATGATAATGATCAGAGAAGAAGGTGATCCTTCGCCAGAAGAAGTTGAGTACAGGCACGGCCTTACTCCTCCGATGAGGGATGCTCGCAGGCGGCGATTTCGCAGAGAACCTAACCTCAATGTATTCTACTTCAATTTTTCTTTCTTTATGGGTATATTGCACTTAACTGTCTCATTTATACCTTCAGTTACAATAAAACCCCCTTACCTCATTTACTAGCACTTAACACCCTTGCAGTGCCATTTTCAGAAAGATAAATTGTAAGTGACGGCCCTCTTTATCATGAATTGAGGGGGGCTAATTGCTGATAAATGAGGTTTATTATTATTATTATTATTATTATTATTATTATTATTATTATGGGTCGGGGTTGGGGTGGAGGTGGGGTTAGTGCAACTGAAAGTATTGATGAGGGCAGCTATGTGCAATTTACCCTTGTTTTCTTTCATTTGTACTTCTAGCCATCATTTGTTGTTATATTATGTTTCTGTTTTCAGCCAGAGCTAGTCCAGCGGGTAGAGAGAGATCTGCTGAACATTATGTCTGGGGGAACGGTAGAAAATATCCTTCTATGGTCGATTAACTTAGCTTTGTGGCCTCAAGGCCTATGTTTTTAAGCTGCTGTTTTTTGTCATCTATTTATCATTACCTATTCTTTTTAGTATTTTTTTAAGTTTTTGAAGTATCTAAAAGCATGGAATAATTGTTATCTGCAGTTCATCAAAAAAATTATTACCTATAGACAAGTTATTAGGCTAATCGAAGTGACGCATATTGATTAGCCTTTTGGTGCAAATATAGACATTTTAAGTTTGGATGATGTTTGGAAGTGCATACTAATGTCGAAGTTTGCATGCGTATCTTGTGGCTTTTTGCTAAGACTCCTTGACTATTGAAGTGTCTCACATGCTGATTACAATGAGCCGGCATCAATTGGTGATCGCAAAAAGGCTGCAGCAGGACCTGCAGCCAAGCCAGAGGTTATTCCAGTGGAAGCTCCTCCAACAGGTGGTGACAGGACCTGCAGCCAAGCCAGAGGTTATTCCAGTGGAAGCTCCTCCAACAGGTGGTGAACCAGAAAAAAGTGATTCCGATGATTCGATGGATCCTGAAAACTAAAGGAGAAAGCAGTTTGTGTGATATCTTAAATTGGTAAAATTGTATAACAATAATTCTGTGTGAACACACTGCAACTTGTTTATGTTTGCAAAAATTTGGGCTCTGTATGGAGGGTCATTCTCGGAGGCCCTTAATTGCAATAATATTCACAATTTAATTTCATAATGCTTTCCATTTAAGTACCATGAAGAGGTTTACTCGGTAAACAAACACAATTAGGCTTCTAGGCAGAAAGTATCTGCTACTGGCCTGCAGTAGTTTGTTCATTTCAAGCTTTTACGTTATACTGAATCAACAAAGCTCTGCCTTGAACATATGCAATAAACCTGAATGCTCGACACTCGAGAAACTTTGTTAACACTTCAATACACTTATCAGCTTAAAGATCAACAAACAAATACAATCAGCGCAAGGAACTAATAAGCAAAAAGATCCAAAATAGTTGAAGGGTATGGAAATATTACACGATAATTGGAAATATTACACAACTATCATAACACAACTAGAAACAGGTCAGAGGGTAACGTCAATATAGAAACTTATGACCATATAAATAATACAATCACCAGTCAAGCCAAACAAGTCAAAGGGTGTGAATATAGAAACTCATAACAACAGTACAATCATCAGTCAAGCCGTTGGCATTTGTTAAGTAACAGAAGTCTTGGCAGCAAGATGCGTAAGAGCTCTACGGTGGTAAGTGTTACGAAGTTTCTTGTACTTTTGTAAGAAAGTTGCCAAGTCAATGTCTTTCTCGAGGAGCTTGTTGTGTAGAATCTCGGATTCCTCTTCATTCTTATTCATGGCATCTATAAAGCAATCAAATAAAGTTATGAGCCGACTGCTCTAAAAGCAACATTTATGGTGGTTTTCCAGCTAGCTCACCTTGCAAGTTCTGGAGCATTGACTGAGGAGAATAGAACTTCAGAATCTCATCCTTTTGTTTCTCCAGTTCTTTTAGTTTCTCTTGGGCAGCAGCAAGCTCAGTTGTTCGGATAATCCTACACTGTTATGTTCAAGAGAATTGAACTTAGAAATCCTATTTCTGCTCATAATGTCTGTTTTTACGACGTAAAAAATAATTCTGCACTCCGAACAAAGCACATGACAAGCATTAGGGTAAAACACTAGTTAAAAACCTAACAAAAAAGACATGATTGAGTTTTGAGATGAGCACTTTTTCCATAACTTTGCAGGACTAGTCATGAACTATATGCGTCAACACTAACTTCCTCGTAAAGTTTAGGGGTTTTTCGTAGAAACCGCCTCTAAAATAGGGCCACTCTAGTGAAACCATCTTTGATTGTCAACTTATACATAAACCACCTTTAAACGAATTTTTGTTGCAATTGACCACATAGACTCACATTTCAGTAAATTTTTTTCCGGTTTTGCTATAATAAATAGTTGTCAAATACCGAGCATATTAGAGATATGATCCTTAATGGAGGTTAGGTGGGGTCAATTGTATAAATTGACAATCAAAGGCGGTGGATTTCAACAAAAAACCCTTTAAAGGTCGTTTATGTATAAATTCACAATCAAAGGTGGTTTCGGTAGAATGACCTATTTTAAAGGTGGTTTCTAAGAAAAAAACCCTGAAGTTTATGAGTAAGCCTTAAAGGTATTAAAGAGGCATGGATTGTGTACATACAAGTAATTTGATCCTTCAACTCTTGTAAGGACATGAGTTACACAAATCAGTAAAGCTTGAGGCTAGAGATTAGATGAGTTAACTATACTAAGATATATGTGAAACGCATACAACAACTGGGTTATAAAAGTTCCAGGCCTATGAATTAAGATTAACCATGAAATTGAGGAAATTCACAGTGTGCGATTCTCATCTAAGTAATGCTATCTGGATAGACTGGTATTCATCTGTTAAGTTAAATTCAAAAAATTCAAGCTCATGGTTCAAGGCCCATGTACTTCCATTGTCTCACAGGTTCCTTCATATTCATAAACCTCAAGCTTATTGTTACACAGGATAGTTTCACTTGTCTCAACTGTGGAGCCTGAACATTCATTTATTACTGAGAAAACTGGGATAATGTTCATAGGATACAAAACTAAAATCTTTGTTTTTAAAGGTGATACTTCCTTTTAAGCGAAGGGCAAAAAATTAAGTACAGCTCACCTGGTTTCGGAGCTCCGAGATGCGAGTTTCTTTCTCTAAGTTCTCCCCTGTAATAAAAAGTCTTGAAGTAAGCATTATGTTTCACTACTGAGGCAAAACAAGTATCTGAAATGATAAGAGCAAATCTCACTTGCAAGCTGCAAGGTCTCCTCCTGAAGTTCACGGCGTAGCTGTAACAAGAGCAATTAATGGTGTCTGTCACTAATAAGGCATGCAATAATCTAAAAGCAAAAGGCTAGCCAACAAATAAGGGAATGTTAGGTGCTTTAGATTTGCAGGATGACATTGCATTGGGAGCGGAAGACCAAGAGAAGAAAGACACCCACCACCTCTCCCAATACATGCATAAATGTACAAGATACTGAAAACTAAGACCAGCATTCACCAACTGTGGTTTAAAGTATAAAGAACATAAATAATTGGAATAATTCAAATAACATCCGAAAAGCAGCATGCACCCCAGCTGTTGCATACTGCATTATTAAAATGGCACACATTTGCATGCATGCATGGTGGGTGAACAAGCTAGAGAGAACTTAAAAGCATAAGCATTATTAATAACTTTCAAAGGGATATCGAACTATCAAGATATCAAGATATTGCAATGAATCATCACAATTAATTAAAGTCAAAGGAGATGTTGAACATGCAATAAACATGCTGGTAAAAAAACGAGGACGCTAAGGATACCAAACAAAAAGGGCATAAGTTACATGCTTGGTCGTTGAAAAGAAAGAAAAGTTCAAGTAGATGCTGTCCTATAATAAGTTACCAATTCTCCAGATACAATAAACAAATAAACATAATGCATAAAAATAATATAGCAAAAGACCAAGGAAGTTTGAAGGAAATGTCAAAAAGCAACGAATATGCTCCCATGTGAGTCAACAACCCATGAAAATAAGTTTCATACTGGTACTATTACTTTGGACCAACAAACAAGAAAAGGAGCAAGATCCAACTAATTTATCAAAATGGCATAAATATAATTATATGCGTATATGCGTGCAATGAAATGAGGTCAGGAGATCAGAAGAAAATCAAAAGGAATAGAACCTAATCGACTTACATTGTTCTGGTCTTTTACTTGCTCGAGTGAATTGAAAAAGGCTTCATACGCATTTTTATCGGTTAAAAGCTTCCTCAGCTCCTCAATGCTGCCATTATCTCAACCACCAAGCACTTGATTAGTAAACAACCTACCACATTAATTGCCTCAAAGGAGATCTACAATATAGTTTAGGAGGAAAAGAAACTTCCAATAATTTCCGACAACTTCTAAGCAACCTGTTTTAATCTGTTACTAAAATACCAACAAAGATGGCATCGGTAGACAGTAAACTATCCATTGACGTTGATAATATTTCTTCGTTAATTACTTATAGGGAATAATCACAGATGGACTGGGTCTTCCAAGTGATTGTTATGCATGTCAGAGCCCAGCTAGTAGTAACTTCCGCATTGGTTTTCTTTTTCAGATGTTATTTGACTTTTAAACCAAATTTAGACAAAGCTTAATATTGCAATCCATTTGAGCTAGAGGTAATAAGAGGTGGACTTAAGTGGAACCTATCTCATGCTCCTGTTATATTAATATTTAAAACATTAACCTGAAGTTTAGATCAGACTAAGCTGGTTCCCAGATCCGACCTTTGGGTTTGAAACATTTATGCCAAACAGATTTTTACTTTTCACTCAGTATCTATCACATATTGTTCTGATGCAATTAGTTGTGAAGGGGGAAAACAAAGAAAAGAAAAGAATATATATATATATATATATATATATAAAGAAAGAGAGAGAGAAGATAGAAATGCAGATGATAAAAGAGAAAATTTAAAAAATAAAAGATATATATATATATAGATATATAGGGAGCATATCTTATGAGATGCAAGTTTCCTATTTTTAGATTTAAGGCTAAGATTAAAACTTGATTAGAGCTTAATCACGTGTCTCCCCTGCAGTCAAGTTTTCTCCCACCTCTCAAAATGTCTGGGTTATATCAATGTAAGTGCCCTTCGACGCCTCCTTCAATGGTCCCGTTGGCCGCCGTTTCTCCCATTCCAATCATCCTAAACAACACCTTCTATATGCGTTGTTGGCCATCATTTTCCCTCTCTCAACTGTTGATGATTTTTCGTTTATTCCCCCGCTAACCAAGTTAGTGAGAATCAAGATTTCGCACTGCCAGAGCTTTTGCTCCTGATCATTCTTCCATCCATCTAAACGTTAGATCCACAATATAATTTACCCAATTATTCGTTTATACATAGAACTATCCCAGATTCCACATGTGTAGGAGATCTAGCTGCATCTTGATAACCATAGCACAATGAAAACCTATAGAATCATGGAGAGACTAATGTGTATTTTAAGCCTCAAATTTTATTTTATATGGATCTACACCAAGTCAAAGGCAGTTGCTTGATGGAATAGCTAAGGGATTAAAGACGGTATTGTGATCAGAATCAACCGCCATTGAGATTTGATTTGATCTTCCATGAGCAATTGGAGAACTTAATTGAAACATTGAAGACAGAAAGAAATGACTGGCAACGATTGAAAACAAAACAAGTATTTAAGTTGGAAAAAGAGTCACGTGATTAAGTTCTAATCAAGTTTTAATCTTGGCCTTAAATCTAAAATAGATGGTTAGGATTAGTGTATCCTATATCCTACAGGAAACTTGCATCTCATAGGATATGCTCTAGAAATGACTGGCAACGATTGAAAACAAAACAAGTATTTAAGTTGGAAAAAGAGTCACGTGATTAAGTTCTAATCAAGTTTTAATCTTGGCCTTAAATCTAAAATAGATGGTTAGGATTAGTGTATCCTATATCCTACAGGAAACTTGCATCTCATAGGATATGCTCT